TCTGTTTATAATAATTATACCTCCGATGGCTCTCATTTTAATTACTTACAATAATTATATTCCCAATTAGAATATTTCAACGCGACAGATTTCGCTGTGGTCCGCAAAACTCCGTAATCTCGCTAGAGAGAGAGAAAAAGAGAAAAAGAGGGAGAAGTGTTGCGCGTTGACAATTAACACAGTCCCGTAAATACTCGGCTCGAAAATAAGCATCCCCGGAGCGTTGTTGTCAACGGCGCGCTAACTGCTGCCGTCTCGAAAAACCAGTTTCGTGTGGTTTCGGCCTAATCGAATTTATCAATCCGCCGCCAATTGAGTCAACTCGCGTCGTGTGCGCGCGCGCGCGCGCGCGCGTGTGTGTGTGTGTGTGTGTGTGTGGGTCCGCGCGTGTTTCTGTTATTGAACGAATTACAGGCGTTATTCAACTATGTGCACAGCGCCGCCGTTAATGAACCGCGTATACACGCGTTCATTCGTGTTTACACGAGAATTTTAGCGCGATCATTGAGCGCGAAGCCGAAGACTCGCGCGGCTCTGCGTGTCGATTTGTCGGCGACGGTGTCTCACGCATGTGGACGGATCGTCAAAAGAGTGTGTTTTGGCAACACGCCGTACATGTTTATGATAACGCAATTAAAGTTAACGAACTTTTCAGACTGAGCTAATATCCCTGAGTCACCTCGGATATTTACATAACATCCTCGACCAGAGTCGGGAACCTTGGAACCTTTACATTCTCGAATACTTAATTCGGATACTTAATTCGGATACTGGACTCTCTTTTTCTCTTCTGCCTCCCCCTTCCATCTTCTCCTCTATTCTTTTATTTTCTCCTTTTCTCTCTTTTATCTTTGATGAACCTTTGTCCCTATTGGGACGAGAAGAAGGAAAAAAAGAGTACTACGGATATTATCTACGGTATATCTAATATATTCAAATCGGTGAGTCCTGAGAATTTTCATCGACTGCTCCGAGAAGGAAGCGACTCCGGCGTACGATTTTTCAATAAACAAATCCGATTGATATAGAAAAGATACGACGTTGTTACTCAACGGTTGCATAAGTATTTTCTGTTTTTAAATACCTCGACTTACAGATTGTCTCGGTTAATTAAAGACCTATAGAGGCACTAATAGATTTGCATAAATAATTCATCAGTTTTTTTGTAATAAACTAATTCTTTTATTTTCTCATTCGACGCACGATCGATTCGATTCCGACCGAGTAAAAACGTTCAACATCAGTGACGTCATTCACGGAGCACATTCGTAAACAATGGCAGGAATACGACCGCATTAATATTCGCCTTACAACAGACATGATATCCCGCTCTGTCTGAAGTTAAATTTTTCTTCAATTCGTAACTCGCGATTTTTGTTCCAACCGTCGGTTCTTTAATTTTTAATTCCCAACACAAAGAATCGAGTGTACATTGAAAAATATAACATATCCCCCTCGAACGTCTAACTTTCGAGTTTCAAAAGTTGCGTGCGTTTGAAAATTTAATAATCGACTTTAATTAGAAAAAAAACCGATGTGTGAACAAATTTATTAATTTTTTTTTTTTTCAATTGATTGTTCAACCCAGCGCCATTTTTGTCCCGCATCGACCAATTTGCTTTTAATAATTTCCGCGTAAACTGTGTTTGCCGCAGATCGTCTTCTTCCCGCTCCCATTTCTTATTCCCTGTATCTCGCTCCCATATTTCATCGGGTCTGAACCCTTAGACGCGTATCAGGAACCGCGAAGGTTATCTGAAACCTCGCGCACATACTTACACACGGCCGTTTTCTCCGCTGGCCGGCTGCGATACTAGCGCCGAGTATTTTCAACAATAATGCCGGCGGGAGATAGTGCGGAAAAACATTCGTCATAAGTCCATTAACCCCGTAAAAGAGAACTCGCGCGCGCGCTCGCGCTCTCGCGCGCAACCTTTGCTTCGTGCTTAAAGCCCACTTTAGGACAATTTTGCAATTCTGCTGTTGTCAGATTTCACGCAGAGTAGAATTACTATTTGTAATTTTTTATATGCCGTGTATTTTAATACGTTTGTGATTCTGAGATAACTTAATGGTTTTTATGTCATACATTTCTCTCGCGCGCAAACTTTGCTTCGTGCTTAAAGTCCACTTTAGACAATTTTGCAATTCTGCTGTTGTCAGATTTCAGAGTAGAATTATATTTGCAATTTTTTATGTGCCGTGTATTTTAATACGTTTGTGATTCTGAGATAACTTAAAATGGTTTTTATGTTACACATTTCACAAGACGTTATACATTTTTTCATTAAAAATATAAATATATAATTTAATACTTTTTTTTATTTCAAATATAAATTATAGATTGTCTAAAGTAGTAGAAGACTGTAAAGCCGTAAGCATAAGAGATAGACTCGGCAGCAGCTTTTATACTTCGCTGTACAATGTACTTCAAGTAAAAAGCTAAAAGCAGAGATATAATACTCCTTTTCCACCTTTTTGCGATAGATATTGCGCATCCGCTTCTATTGCGGGAAAGAAGACATCTGCACTTAATGCTTTTTCCTTCGAGTCAGTGGCCGTCGCATTGGAGACAGAAATCCGTATTTCGTTTTTACGCATGACTCGATGAGATGAAAAGTAATAAGAGAGCAAACGAACGAAACAGATATGAATGAAAGTGAAGAAGTCGTGAATAAAAAAGAAGTAGACTGTGCAAAAGTGTCAAGATCGAAAGATAAAGCGAAAGTAAAGCCGTAATTACACTACGGTTCACGATTTTATTTTGGCCAGGGCTCGCTGTACCGTGATTGGCTGAAATAGAACCGGCGAGAATCTTAATCGGCAACCCGTAGTGTGATTAGTGTCGGTTCACAATAAGAACTTTAAATCTTACACCGTAAGATATTGACCAATTACAATCGATCATTCTTCTCATATTCGACTACGATTTTGGTCTATTTCTTACTGCTTAGGGCTTAAAATCCTCATGTAGACCGACATTATATAAGGCTTAAGAATGAACGCGACTCTTAAGCCTTGTGTCCACGGCCTACTAGAAATCGGTCCAAGTTCTCGGATCGAAAACTGTGTAGGCAATAAAATCACTGGTTTTCCGTAAAAACTGCAAGTTAATTGGCTACACAGTTTTCGGTTCGAATACGTGGATCGACTTCTAATATCGTGGACACAAGGCTTTAGGATTTTTTTAATTTGGTTTCGGAACGCACTAATATTTTGCAAATGCAAACCACGATTGATGTACTAATAATACTATCTTTAGACTAAAGATAGTATTATTAGATAGTATATTAGTGCGTTCCGAAACCAAATAAAAAAAAGTGTCGCAACAATTCTGTCCACGAGTGTACACGGAAAAATATAAGCGTATCAATCGCAAATTGACAATTCATTTCTGGCCTATATAGATTGATAACTTTAAAATGCACACTATGACTCTTATAAAATATATATGAAAAGGAAATTGGAGGAAAAACACTAACTTCCACCTCCGAACTCAAAGTGAGAAGCATTCTGGCGTAGATGACTTGCAGGGAGAGAGAATATTTATCGCTGCCTTAATCGTCTTTAATAACGCACTGCGCGATATGAACATCGGACAAATATTTCGTTCCGCAAATGTAAACGAACAGATACAAGCGTATAAAAGTAATATTGTTGCATTGCGATTGATAATTTCCTTCTGACTCGCATTTAATAGTCTAAAGAAGCCTTGAAAATACGAAATCGTTAAAAGATCAGAAGATTTTGTGTAAAATTATGAAATTAGAACGAACATAAAATACAAATAAAAAAAAAATGTATCAACTTTGTTAATATTTTAACTCTTTCTCATGGTTATATGTATGAGAAATGTCAGCATGTTTCAAAAATAATATTTCTAACAAATCATTAAAGACAAACAGAGCTCATTAAAAAAAACTGCTTAAACTTTAATAAAAAAATATCTTGTTTTAATTAATTTAATATTGTTATAAAATATAAAAAATTATTTGCTTGATATAAACCCGAAAGTTCTCGGACTCATCATAAAAAAATTTGGCATACTGTCTAATTACTTTCTCGTGATTATTTAAATTCAATTCTGGTAATATAAATGCCCGATGATATTTATTTCCTTTGTATAAAGTAGGCATAAATAAAATATTTTCTTGATATGTCACGGTAAAGGAATCTGACGATGTGTCGTTGCTATCTAAATATACATAGATTATATCAAAAACTGTCGAACCTTGTTCTGATCAATATAGATTTTGTCATATCTTATTGTTTCATAAATTGAATTTACATTTTATGTTATCCTGAATGCAATAAAATGCAAACTTTTATTACAATTTAAAGGTATTTTATTTTTTGCTTTATTCAATTCATTTTTTTATCTTTTACGTTTTAATATCATTTTTGTGTTTTAACGCTTTAAAAATTTCAATGAATTAAAAAAATTTTATTCTATGCATATATTAAATTTGTTTTACAAATTTTAATTCCATTTTCATACATTTGGCGACCACAAAAATCGTTAAAACATATTAAATTGAATTATATCTCTGTTTAAAAAACGAATCAGATTAAAGAATCTTCATATTAGACTAACGAATCAAACATTGTCCTTAAACAAATTAAATAACTCTATGAAAATTCTTCAATTCGCGATGAATCAAACCGATATCCGCATCAGAAATCTTGGAACGAAGATATTAGAAGCGAAGAAAACACGAGGAAACCGAACGATTTTTTGTTGAAAAGGAAACCGGTTTAGTTCATTAAAAATCCATACTGAAAATATCTGGGCTCAGGACTTTGCTGTAGTCCTAACAGATGGCAATCTTAGAGAGTTACACAAGGAGCGAACGTGGAAGGAGGTAGGATATAAAACGGAAAATTGACATCTCCACATTTGGAACGGCAGACGGAAATTCGGAGTTTTCGAACGAGGAAAACAACAGACGGCCATAGAAACACGCTCCAAAACACATCGCGGGCGCAACTACTTTAATTACCATGACAATGAGGATCCGCCGTGCCGTTTGCACACCTCAACTGTAAGAGCATGCCCGGATGATCGTTGACATGGTCCAAGGTCCCGCTGCTGCCCCTCCTTAATTCCTGGCGCCTCTTCTCGAGATCGGGTGCCATCAGGCGGCTCCCAAGAACCTTTTCGCGGCCACCGTAGGTGTCGAAAACGACGAATCGCTCACAGCTCTGAACGACCTCGGCGCGAGCTGATGCTCCACGTGTCTCTCATCAAAGGTGTTCAAAAGCGTCGTGAGGCCTCGAGCAGCTTAACGGCCTTCGTTTTACGACACAACCCGCCAGATAAATCGTCCGATCTGTTTGCGTGTCACTTGACTCACACGAACTATATCTCTCTTCTCAAAAGTGTCCTAAGGTGCCAGTTCATAAAGTCCTTCTCGCTCCTTATCTTACACACAGAGCGCTCGAGATACAGTCACTTATAGAAGTATCTAGCGCAACTAACGGAGACGTTTTCAAAATGTTACAAGTCTCGAATCGTTAGGTTCCACAGTCTGCGTTCCGATGCCTATAATACCGATATCGATCGACGTGCACGGTGTCGCCGTACGAGAATTTCCACGAGAAAATCGTCGCGTCGCGACGACATCGTCCGCGCGGACGGGAGCCAACGCGAAGAAAACGGCGACGCAGCAGCAGGTAAATACGAGAAGACGATGACAACGATAAAGAAGAAGAAGAAGCCAGGCGTGAACGCGGAAGCAAAAGGAGGAGGATGAATCACCCGACGAAAAAGCGCGACGCGCATCATGCGCGGACTAACGCCACGCCGCACGCCCGAGATCGGCGCGACCTGGGCGCGCGAGTAAATAAGCCCCCACCCCCACAACAAACCGCGCGGCGTACGTCGTCGTCGTCGTCGTCAGCGGCGGCGGCGGCGGCGGCGGCGTCGACGGCGCGCGGAGCGACGTAGCGAGCGATGGCGCGCCGGCGAAGGTTGACCAATCAACAGGCGCTAATTACCCCTATCGGCGGAGGCGCTCGCAGTTCGTAGATTGAGTACCGATACCTTCTCTCTCTCTTTCTCTCTTCCCCCTTCATCCCCGGCCTTCCCTCCGGCGGGAAGGACGAATGATAAGGTTCAATTTTAATAAGGTACCTCACCGTCCAAATGACCCGCCGCGCCGGCCGGCCAACGATAACGATTTGGACTCCGGAAATTTTTCCGTAATTGTCGAGTCAGTTGTTCGGAAACGTAATAAATAAAGAAGAGATTATCGCGGTTACGATCTCCGCGATATAATTTTAGCGCCGTAAATAGAGTTACGTAAAAAAAAAAAGTTACGTAAAAATAAGCGTAAACTTATAATAAGCGAATTCCCGGGAGAGAGAGAGAGAGAGAGAGAGAGACGAATCGCTGTTTCTTCGCGGGACAAATGGCGCTTCTTCGCCGAAATTCAAATTGCGTAACTCGATGGCGTTTCCCTGGAGTGATTAAACGCTCGTGCGCCTTCAAAGGACGATTGGACACGAACTCGCGATGTACTCCGTCTTTGTCTTTCGCACGCGACACGAGCCGTGTCTGCCCCCTCCCCTCCCCCTCCCCCTCCCCGGGGGACTATATATAAACCATCGATTTTTGTTTCATCCGAATCTTCGCGGGCCGTGAGAGAATTTCAGAATTCCGTTCCGTGCGCGGCGCACGGAACGATTAAATAATCGAGACGAGCGTGATCGATTAACGCACGCGCGGGTTCGCGCGCGCGCGCGCACGCTCGCGGTCGCTCGTTCCGGACAAATCTAGACGCGTCACGATCGTATGACGTCAAAGGTCGATTATAAGTTTACAATCCGCGGATCGTTTATGACCCGCGACTCAATGCGGAGATATGCATCGCGATAGCGCGCGGTTATCAATCTATTGGATAATCTATTATAATTGCTATTTATACGTGAAACTATAATTCCGCAGTTTGAATAGCGATCCGCCAGGATTTCTTCGCGTCCACCCTCCCCCCTTCCTGTTCTCGCTTTTTCCTCCGCACCGCGGAAACGCCGCGGACACGAATGCACGCACACACACACACACACACATAGGCGGAACGGGGAAAAAAAGAAGAGGCGCGCTTCTCGAGATATAACATCGGAAACTACATCGACGAGGAGAGAAAGGATATGTCCCGCGAATATCGGGGGCCTGGAAAAGTTCCTTTTCCTTCCCCTCAAATAATCCGTGCGCTCTCGAAAGTGAAACGTGTAGGAACGAGTTGAAAACTTTCCTACGACGATACACAAAAAGAAGGACACGAAAATCTCCAACGTTAAAACGCACACTCTGTATGTATAATTTAGCGAGATGGTTACACAATAAAATAATGATTCCGGTAAATCGACGTCTCCGAGATGTTGCATAACAATGGAAAAATGGTGTGTATGGTGTACAGCTGGTTTCGACCCCCCCCCGCGGATTGCCCACACGAAACCCCATGTATCAGTGGGGCAGGAGGGGAAAGGGGGGAGGGGAAGGGAGTTCCCCCGCACAATCCTTGTTCACAATATTACGTACGTCGATCAAATTTGATATTAATTCGCGACGTAAATCTGTGCAGCATCTCTGCGATCTGTATACCGGTTTAACAACGACGCCGCTATTTAAAAGATGGTTTTCCTTCCGCTTTTCTTATTTTTCAATAATCGGTTCGCCGAATAACTCTCTCGCGAACGGAAATTCGCTCGCCACGAAACACACACCGCGACGAATATCCGCGATCTGCGCAGCGCGAATGCTCGCATAGATACTGGCGCGGGGCATGCCAAGCGTGTAGGTATGTTTATTATTATTTATCGTTATTGCTATCTCAGTCGTCACGGAAATCCGAGACACCGATCTGAAAAAGCGTGGAAACGCAACGACTGCGAATTATTTGTCGCCGTGGCTCGCTTCGCTTAACATCCGCTCGCTTCGCAAGTGCGTTATGGGGTGTCCGAAAACTCGCGCCCTTCTCTCCCTTCGTGAGGTTCAAATTTCGCAACACGTGTCTATAGATCCCGTTTTCATTATCTTTAATCCTGACTTACAACTGCTTTTTTACTAGCAACTATAGCATTAAAAAATTATATTAAGCAAAAATATATAAAATAAAAAAATAGCAAAAATATAAAAACTAAAAAAATATTTTATAAATTATTATCTTTGCAGAAAATTAGCAAATAAAATCTTTCTAGTTTTATTGTCTATAGTTTTATTAACTCTCTTTCCAGACAAAAGATAAAACGGGAATTAAATAATATAAAATAATCAATGTGGCTGTTTTAGAAAAAAAAATGAGAAAGAAGAATGTTTAAGGAAAAAAATAATAGCTTTTGTTTAAATTTACTTCCATATATTTACGTTGGATGTTATATATTTATATATATATATATATAACAACGTAAATATATAGTTTGTTGTTCTGCTAGTATTAATTATATATTTAATCACATATCACCGATATACCACATTTATTGAATTAGATTAGTATAAATATAGGTTATATTGTTAGTGTATATATTTAAATAAATTTAGATTAAATTGTCAGTGTTAAAACTCAACTAACAATAAGTCTAATCTTAACGATACAAAAATGTTAGAATTACTGAAACTAATAATATGACTTTTGTACAACTTAAAAGTTTAGGTTAGATAAAGTAAAATTGCAAGTACGATTTATTGCAATTCACTTACATCAATTTCCACCGAAAAACATTTAATACACATGTACAGAGTGTTCTAGACTTCTCATGACACACTATTAATGGGAAATTCCTGAGATTATTTTAAAATAAAAATCTTAATAAAATGTGGAGATTACAACAGTTTTACGTAATTAGATTCACTTATATCAAATCTCCATAAAAAAAAAAACATTTTATTTACACACATGCGCGCACACGTGCGCGCACATCTCTCTCTCTCTCTCTCAAACACATACATTAATCGATTAATACCTTCATACCTGAACTATCACGAATACTAAATTCTCGACTAAACCACGTTCGAATGCACTATATATGTAAATATACACATCTACTATTCAGTCTACTAAAACGAACCTCATAGATATAAACGTTTCATTCAACTGCCTTATAATCTCTCCTAAGGTGTATGAATAATTCGCGTTTATTCCCTCCCCTCCCCAACCCTCCTTCCGCAATCGTCCCTCTCGGCTCGTCATTCTCATCGCTCTCGCACGGAAAGGCAACGAATGCAATAAAGTCCAATGTGCGCAAGACAATCGCGCTCAACGACATGTTTGTTGCCTCGCTTTTCTCCTCCACCATCGGCCATCTCCTCCTCGTTCCTCCCCGCCTCTCCCGCTCTCTTTACACGCGCCTACCGTGTTCAATTATTCGCTACACATATACATGTACGACGCACGTGTGCACCGCGCACCCACGAAGGTGGGACTCCTCTATATGCCCGCTGATAGCGCGGTAAACGTCTGTAAGCTCGCTAGTCCCATTAGTCACGCTAGACGATTACCGGTCGCTTCGACGACGCGGATGGGTCATATGGAAAACCTGTGACGAGTTTTTGCGAAAAATCGATCGCGGACACGAGCGTGTTTCCCCAGACGTTTCGTTTTACCTTGTTATACATATACGCGTCACGCGTCGAGGACGGACTTATATAAAAGTTGATTCTTAATTCAAACGGAGAGATGCATTTTTACGATGCTATAACAATATCGAGAGCGATATACTTCATCGATAATACATATCTTCGGTATAATCGTAAAATAACCGTGTATATCATAAAACAAACTGAGGAGAGATTAAACTTTAACGAGTTTATCGAATAACGACGTTAATAACATCGCATATCCGACATATTCGAATTAATCGTCACTCGTTCTTCGAAATTATATATCTAACAAAATATCAGTAATATCGATAATACAAAACCATCGATAATATTGATGCCTACTTCAATGCCATCGGCATCGGAGCAACGCCGTCGGCGGCGTCATGGTGTCCGCATGTGCATGAACGATGGCGATTCTGGCACGGCTCGTTGAACGTGAATCTCGTCTACCGCTGGACGATGACCCGTCTTGCTTATTTATCGTCGCGCTTTTACGGCTTAATTGTTATTCGGTGCTTGCACTATGAGACGTTCGTCATGCACGCGCATACACACATATACGCGCCGGCCCGACTCCGCTACATCGATCGATCGATACATTCTCTGGATATTTTTATGTCATGTAAATTATTTTAATTGTGAGTTTATTTATTCACATATTCACGTGTGTTATTTTTATTTATGCATTTTGTCGCGTGTAAAAAATAAATAATCTGAACTGAATCTGTTTTTCATTCGAATAAAACATTACATTACGTCTCGTAAATGTCTTACGTACGAACATTGAGAGAAAAATGTTTGGAATTTGCAATTATAATTGCACGGTAAAATAATTATAGTTAGAAGTATCAATTTTATAGCTGTTACTATTATAATTTTAGTAACAATTATATTTATAGTTCTATCAAATATATAGTCGAAAATAACTAGATATTGACATTCTAGTAATTGCGACTATCTTTTTCTCTCAGTGAATATCTATAATCTGATGCCGTCGATAGCAATTAATTAGACTTATTAGAAATCATCAAAAATTCAAAAAACAACTGTTTACGCTATCGTGATTTAATAAATTATCAATCTGTTAAATGTACCTTTCGCGAAAATGTAAAAAATTCTGTAGGCACTATAAAACTTTTGCTATGATTTGCCACGCTAAAACTTCAATATAATAGATTCAATTTGAAGAAAATGA